TTATTTAATTTTTTTATTTATAAACTAATCAGACGATCGTCGCGAAACTTTGTGTACATATCGTTAATAATATTATCTGTGACATGTAAAAAAATTGGAGACATTCATCACGCCAATTTTTTTAAAACTGAGTTTTTATAAGTTTCCCCATAAGCGACCGTGTTAAAATGACTGAACTTTAAAATTCAATATCTCGGAAACGAAACAGACGAACCTCTTGAAATTTTAACAGCTTCATTGTAACAACAATAAGAACGTCTGATTAAAATTTCAAAAAGATTCATCACAGGGTTCTATGTCTACCGTACGTCCTTGATTCAAATTGTGACATTTAATTTACTATGTTAGTTCGTTTAGTAAAAGCATTTTATTTACGGTGTAGACAAGCATAGCCACTATTCTATTACCTAACATATTCTATTACACGTTAGAAAATTTCTTAATCGCTCTTAGGTTTGAGTACAATTGAAAGTGCTATTATTGAAGTATAATTTTTTAAAAATCGTGTGACCTAATTATATTTACTTAGATACAGCTTTCAGAATACAAAATAAGCTTTGGAAGTGGTTGGTTAATGAATTACACTTACAAAATTTACTAACTAATAGTATACTGATTGGTGATAAACATATGATTTTAGGTACTAATTCTGTCAAATTTTTTGGGAAGCTTAAGGTAAATAATTTTCTATAAAAAATTTAACGATCTTTCATACTCTTTAAAATGCAGTATTATCAAACAAAAATTTAAGGCAAAAAAAGAATTTTTCAGAAAATTTTTTTTAAAAATTAATAAAGTTAAAATAGAAAAAACTATTTCATGAAATTAAAATTTTTTCTTTACTGGTGGTACGTATCCGAAGAAATGCACTTACGAAAGCCTAAGTAGAAGTAAATAGTTCAGTTACTGCAAAATCGTGAATCACATAAAATAAGAGAAACATATTGGAAAATTCGTGAGCTCAGTAATTGTCGTACTTTTGGACATTAATAACGTTCAATCTTGGATTATACTTGACATCATAAAATACATCATTGTTTTTAACTAAACGACTTTAATTGAATTTAATCTACAAAACTTTGTAGTCGTTCGCAGTAGTTGGATCTCATGCGTTTCAACATAAAAACTTTATTCGAGATATCCGCGCAGTAATTAGGTGCCCAGTGACTGGTGATCTTACTAACATACAAAGTAAAGTCGCTAGAATCGTTGTCATCGCTAACCGCGGAAACTACTAAACCGATTTTGCTGAAATTTTGCATATTGATTCTTGATAATTCCGAGATGGTTTTCGCATAGTTTTTTTTTTTGAAAAAGTTAATAACAATAGCGATAACTAAGCTCAAAGTTTTGTTAAAATAAGCTATCTTTGCGCTGTAGTTCAGTAAGATCTGCAAGGTGGCGTCGAGGTAAAATTAAAGCCACCCTCAATCAAAAATAGTGAAAAATAGTTACAAGATGCCCCATCGAGTTGTCCATTTTCGTAGTCGTTCGTCGGTAGTGCACTAAGACTAAAGTTGTTAGTAGTGCTGCTGGGCATTCTGGCTACCGATGACACTCTTCTTTCATAGGCAAGCGAAATAAATCGATTTATATCTCGGATCGACAAAATAAATGAGTGCCACGGAAAAATAGGCGATCGGAACGTCAACGTCTCCGATGGAATACCAGGAGACGTGTCTAGCCAGAGCATATCCTGCTCCAAAACTTCAGAGTTTTGTGACCGCTCAACCATTCGGCCTGGTGTCGTCAGATACTTTCTACTTCAAATGCAAGCCAGGAAAGACAGCTCTGAGAGTACGAGCAGCTACAACGGTCACCTTCTTAGTGGTTATCCCAACGGCATACCTACAGAAACGGTATTCTCCATGCTCACTTTCCCGACTAACGATGAGCGGTTCATTATAGAGAACGACCTGAACATAAGATATTCTTTGGTCAGCGGCGCACCTCCCTCCAGTACGGTATCCGTACACGGAGACTCCAAACATAAGAGTCAAGCTACCCGTAGCTGGCTCTCCATCATCAAGAATAACAGTAGCGAATAACTGGAATTTTCAGCACTGGCCCTTTTCAGGGCCATTATAAGTATTTACATTTCCTACTTAACCATCAATCTCATCAGTTCTTTTAAGGGCCACTTAAGTTCAAACTACCTTGCAAACAAAAACATTTGTACTACCATTTCTGGAAGCAATTCGTCGACTAAGAGACTATGTAAAGCCGGCCACCATTAGACCAAGTCAGTGATTCACTGGTAGACGTCACGAGCGGAGTTGTTTGTCGCAAGGTTGGGAACCCTGGTGACTGTCGACCCTATATTATCCTCTCGACTCTCAGCATTCAACCAGAAATCACCGATCCTCTTCAAGGTCTGCGATGGGCGAACCTAACAGCTATGAAGGCAAAATAAACTTGTGCAAACGGGACAGTCTTAAACGGGCAATCATCTCGAACTAATCTCCCCACTTTAGATTACCAAAACACTGAGTCTGCAAAAAAAGAAGGTGCTTTAGACACGAACGTCTTCGACCTTGTACCGAGAGACGTTAAGAAAGAGCTCTACAACTACCTCCAAAGCTTCAAATGTTGTAGTTTTTCTCCCAATCAGTGTGGTGCTACAATAATAGACCAGAGGAGATTACCCTGAGGTATAGAAGCAATCACGTTTGCTAGAAACTTCATTCAAAAAAGAGTTTACTTAAGAAGCTCATTGGTTTCTTTCAGGGTTATTGGACGTCAAACTACCTTGCCAACAAATACATTACAACCTTATAAAGTTAAAAATGTAGCCTATAAGGCTCACAAAAGTTTTAACTATACCAAAAGTCGCAAGAAGTCAAATTGGAAGGGAAATTTGAAATGCATCTCATGAAGAAAATGATGCTGAACATTTATCGAGATTAAAGCAGCATCAAAATCGATAAATATAGAATTTATTGAGTGAGAGATCAGCCTTGAACTATAACCCTTATAGTAATCTCTTGAATCTTCCAAATTTTTAAATAGGTAGAATATGTATTTGTATTTTTGTGGCAATAAAAAATGTAGAGATTATGTTCCAGAAATTTGTTGCTGTGGTAGAGAAGAAATTTTTTTTCTTAATATATATTTTTTGTGAGTTTTAAATCTTTACAGCTTTAAAAATAGCCCTGTTCATAGATTATACGGGAGAAACTGTAAATCTACGGCCCTGTAGGGCCAACGATTATTTTGTGGCGTAAATAACGCACGGTACTTTTTATCATAATTAAATTTTTTTCATTTTTTTACAGCTTATTATTTGATTAAAATAACTGTATGGATTCCGATTAAATATGTTTTTAATAAAATATATTTAAAATTTTTAACTGAAAACGTTTCTTATTACATTTCAACACACTACGGTGTTCTATTTAGTGAGTCTCGGGCGAAGCCGAGATGGGAGGCCGCTAGTTATTTTATAATCATGCGCAGTAATAGAAAGCGAATAGTACCAACACTAAAACAATGATTGACTAAAAAAATAAGTAACGTAACTAAAAAAGTTTTTTTTTAATCGCACTAGATGCTGCAGTAAAAAATAAAATTTAACTTCTTTAATTCACATTAAAAATCATAGAGACATTAGCTGTTGAGCACAGTCAAAATTTTCTATGCACTTTTATTAGGTCATTTACTCCTACTATATTTTAACTCGAAATTTTATGACATACGTTAATATTAGATTATTTTTATACTAGCCCGGTATCCTAGGCTCACATAACTTTTTTCCGGACAAAGTTGAAAAATGTAAGAAAAATCATTCTTGTGCAAATTTTCTCAGAACATTAAAAAAAAATGGTTTTTAACTACACATAGAAAGATTCGGTCTCAGCTAAAGGTGATGTGGTGCTGCTAGTGATAACATCATGCGTGCGCAAACAGTAAAAAAGTGGTGCATGTTGGCATGTAATCCCAAGCTGCAAATGCACGATTTTTTTGTGCAAGCCACTGGAATTTTGACTGAGTGGCTTCGGTATGGATCGACTCCTATTTATAAGTGCCCAACAATTAACAATTCACGAATACTAAATAAATTATATTATACAGGAGAATTA